GCAGGTGTTATTTGTTTTCTGGAAAATGGCCATCTCAGATACTTACAAGTATGCTGATAATCATTTTGACATTGGAAAATGCCTGTCCTCCAGAGTAGGAGGACACACATGCTCTGCTGAGAATTGTTTGCCTGCCATTTATGAACAGTAAAAATATGCCAGAAATAATATTTTTTTTCTCAGGCATTTTGGCAAGGGCCAACAGCAACTCGGGACTGGTGTCAACTGGTCTTGCTGTCAGCACCTCTCCTACCACCTAGCAGGGGCAGGGCACCAGGGACAGCCGGGACAGTCCCAGCATCTGGCCAACACTGCAGGTCGATGGGCTGATGCTGGGCCAGGTGGTCAACCATGAGTCAGGGCTACATCAGGCTCACTGCCAGGCAGGCCCATGGTGGGGCTGGAACCAGCAATGCTGCAGTGTCAGGGCCTGATTGTGTCATCCTCTGGTCAGTTGCGGACTTATGACCCCAAGACAGGGTGAGATGGTCTGTGCAGGGTGGAGGAGGCCCTGGGGATAGGCAGAGACTCCATGACCTCTCAGTTCCTTCAGGGACTGGACAATTTTTTATTGCGAGGAGTGAGATTTCCAAGCYGAACTAGAAGCTTTGATTTCATACATATGTCAACAGCAGACATAGGGATCATATGCAGATGATGTCTACCGTCCTGACTCTAAAGAAGCAATTTATTTATCAATCCTTCTTGCTTTGAAGGGTCCGTAGGCTCAGGAAATTTTACAGTTGATAATGTGAAAAAGCACTGGCACCACACATCCTCACAGAGCTCTGAGGAACAAAGACATGCTCGGCATGGTCCTTGCTCCTTTCTAATGCAGTTCCAATAATTGGTTAGACACCTTATGTGGAGGAACACTTTCTTCAGGTTTTCTGTTTGTTTGATTGTTTATTTTGTTTGCTTTTTTGATATGACCTATAAGTGTTAGGAGRGCCACAGAAAGAATTTATCAACCATCTCCACAGTTGTAGAGTAATGGTGAAGTGTTTATCTAGAAAGCTGAAGAATGGAATTGCCTTCAAAATAATTCTTGTGACAAGAGGACAAAACAGAACATTTGCATGCAACAGTTTGGTAGAAAAATACCATTTTCAGTCCAATATTTTTGTCTGGAATAGCTCAGGTTTGAAGAACTTATGCCACATCTGAGCCAGGACAAATGTCTGCCTGAATTCCCAATGAGTCTGCTCTGACCTGTGGTTGTGGGGACCTTAAAGCCTTTTGGAGGTGATGTTCGGAAATGTTATCTGAAGAGAGAAAATGAAGAATCTGTGGACAAAAAAAAAAAGAAATTAAAAATAAAATCCCACAAATTAGAATCTGTTTTTGGAAATAGAATATTCATGTCTCTAGAGATCTCTCTAGTACCCTATAAAGCTGAAGCACCTGGTCCACTCAAATGAATCTTGTAAGCTCAGGTATTCCTATATTAATTCATGCACCTGGAAAGTATCCCCCAGAATCATGTGGAATGATGATCAAGAGGGGTCCAGGAAGCAGGACATCCTTGAATACATTATACATTGTGATTTCAATGAGAGACTGATTACTAATGCACATGCTGTTTGCTAGATAGTGAAATAACAAGGAATATCTTTCAGGGATAGCTTATAGAGTAGTAAAGTAGCTTTCCACATACTTTTTTCATATGCCTGTAGTGAAGAGACTGCTCAGCTGTATGGGGTATATTGTGCCCGATTAGTTTTATAGAGTGAATTGAGTAAGGTTGGTTTTATTTGCTGAATAAAATATCARCTTATATGTAACTCTGTGCACTTTCTCATTTGGGGACATGCAGTGCCATTTAATTGGCTTGTGTAGGTAGCTTGCTGTTTTTTGATACTTTAATAAAACCTTCTGGTATAGCTGTCTCATTCCATTTCCTCACAATTAAGTGGATCACAATATGGTCAAGAACAAGTGCTTAAGAAGTACAGAACTTTATTAAGCTTGCATTTATAATACGAGGAAAAATACAGAAGTGATGAAGTCAGACTTTTGAATGCAAAAAGGAAAAAAATGAGTTTTAAAATGAAAATTTGAAGTTCAGCTTGTAGAAGAGAAGTAAAACATAAAAGACAAAATTGTGATATTTGTTATTTGTCACCATTAGTGTTCTTTGCGTTTTCCTTTCCCTTTTCATCTTATGCATTTTTTGTCAAATTGCGGAAAACTGCAATTTAATTGTCCCCCAAAGCTTGTTTTGCCTCATTCCATAGAACTTCTGAGGCCATCGTTTGAAAGAGAAGGTTTTTCCCCACTCATTTTCAGTTTCTTGAGTTACTAACTAGACTGATATAGAAACATAGGCAAAAATATACCTAATTATTCTGAAAGTTGTTCATTTAGAATGACACAGTATCCTGCTTCTTGATGGCTCCACCAGTATTATATAGATGCCTGCTTTTCAAGATCATTAKTCTTTTTTTGCATAATAATTAAAGGTATTTTTACTTATAAGCAACTATARTTTTTACTTAACTTAAAAGCACGCCTTAAATATTAGGACTACAATAGTCCCTAAGCTACCAAAGAAATAAAAGAGTGAAATGCATTATTAGGATTTAGACTAACACTGCAGCCATTTCTATTTTCCTCTGTAGTTCTAAAGTAAAATGAACCCTTGCCATTTTTCATTTTTTACAGTGGCTGCTGTCTCYTCCTTCTCTCCCTCTCTCCTTGTCCTGAAGAAGAGACTGAGTAAAAGCTATGACTTTTGCTATGTCAGTGCATCCCTCCCTTGCTTATCACTAGACTTTTTTACTTTGTTCCTGGTAAGAGGATAATGGGAAATGGCATAGTCCTCCCAGGGTTTACTAGGGTACTTTAGAAGTTTACATAGTTTCTTCCCATCCTTTTATTTATTTATTTATTTATTTATTTATTTATTTATTTATTTATTTAAAGAGTCATTTGATTAATTTATATGTACTATAAATCTTAATTAGCACCTTTTTGGCTCCTGGATTCTTTTCTTTGTGACAGATTTCTGAAGACAGAAGAACATATGATGGTTGTAACAGATCAGATTAAAGGTCCACTTATTCACAGAGCTGCTTTTCAGAACTAGTCAATAACAGCTACTCTAGAGAAAAGTATGAAAATAAGATAAGCATGTAGCAGTGCTCCCTTCACCTCCTTCCCTTTTCCTCCTGGTGTTCCCAAACACTGGGTGACTTGCCATTTACAGTCCATCTGAATCAGCAGTGATATCTTTTCACTTAATTGCCTTTGGTGAATGTTGCTTCCAGGAAGCTAATAAAACCTTCTACATCTTATTCTGAGAATAGCAAATGCACGGTCCTCATATTAAATGCTTCACATTTTTTTTTTTGTCTTTGAATATCATACAGAGAGTAACTACTTCAGAAATAAGATACTAGAGCTAATTAAATTAGGAATGGATTGGTTAGATTTAGCAAATCTCTTCTTTCTCTCCCATTTCCCCCTATTTTTCTTTTTATGAGGACACTATGTACCTATGTAGATCTACTTATCTCACACAGCAAGAGACATCTAGCTGCATTAGGAGCATAGTCATGGGCTTTGCAAATGGAGCATCGTGCAGTGATATAAGGCCATCTCAAGGGGTTCTCAATCCACTTAAAATATGATTTGTCCCTGAAAGTTTGTTATTATTTTCCTCCTGGGCTACATGTGGTCAGAATGACTACACAACTCCGAAGGATCTGTAAACATGAATATTTTCAGCGACTGTATCAGAAGGAAGTTTGAATATTTCCTTTTTAGCAGCTATTTTATGAAAGTATCTCCAGCTGTGTCTTTCTGGAACAGTTTTCTCGTCACTTTAGGAAACCATAAAGTAAGTTTTTAGCTTAGATTTTAGATTCATTGAAGTACCACTTGATACATGATTTTACTTTTCTAGAAAGAGGAAGTCTTATCATTCTCAATCTCCCTTCATTATGAATGCTGAGCAAGCATGTGAAAATAATTTCCAGTAAGAAACAGACWACATATGCACAGAAAGATCATTTTTCAATTAATTTCACAGCTCAAAAATAATTGTTATTTCTATCTCATGAAATATTTGAAATATTAGAAAGATAATAAAAACACTAAAAAAATTTTGTTCTGTAGGTTTGCTTTTGGTGTGTGTATAGTTTTGAAGTCTTAAAAAACAAATAAAAACAATTAAAAAGGAAGATACAACAAAATTTCTTCTTTTTTTTATAGAATATTTAAATCTATATGAAGCATAGAGAGAATTTTCTGTTGAAGTTGGTCTCTCTAGCTCCATAAAAGGAGAAAACAGATTTTTTTCTCTATRTCTCACTTGCCTATTTTGACAGAAAATTTTAAGGAAAAGAATATAGATATATAAAACTCAACATATCAGGACACACTACCATTCTTTCTCTTTCCATATTCAAGATCCAGGAGAAGGGAGCCAAAAATAATGTATTTMACTTCTCTTTCTACAGGTCAGTTCTTACAGATGAGACATTAGCTGCTGCCTTATAGGAAAATCTTTATGTGTTGTTGTTGTTGTTTGTTTAATTGATTTTGTTCCTGTTGAGAGAACATCATAAGGAACGAAGCATTTGTATACAGCTAGGGCTGGCTAGTAATATTATGTGCAATTAATGTATARCATATGAAATGTTAAAGCTCCAGGAAAAATTAAGCTTTGGATTATTACATTAAAATGCTTATATATTTTTATATTTTATTAAATTTTCAGTGAAAATATCTATTTTTAGAATTATTTTTAGTAGGATTTTTTTTCTTTCTATACTTTCTTTTTAATTCAGACAGAAGAAACTGAGACCCTCTATCAAATTTGCTATTTGCGCATATGGGAAGTTAATATATTTAATATTTTTAATGCTTTAGATTGCTGGTGAGATATGTTTTCTTTTTCACTCCAGTAATATGAGGAATCCACTTTGAAACTGAAGACTCTGTGAAACAAAAGGTTACAGAAGCCATTAAAGTAACTTGCATTTCTCACTTTGCAGGTCCTTGATCTCATCTTCCCCAAACAGCTCCAGAGTGTGTGAAGACTTCTCACAATCACTCTGTATCTCTGAGGAAAACTACTTATATGTCTCTGAAAGTACCATATGAACTGCGTTCTCTTTGACCTCCTTCTTCACCCTTTCTGTGCACTACCTTTCTGTTTATCTACCAGATAAACTGTTATCTGGTATCTGATGAGCAAATTAAAACCTATATTATATTTTCACATATATATTCCATAAATCCATTTTAAAATAATATGACAGCTTGTATTCAGAAAGGTTACTAAAACAACTAACTAAATAAATAAAAACAAATGAAATTAATAAACTAGTTAGACTAGGAAAATAATTTTCCTATGTTGTAACTTGTGTGCATTAACTCTTGGCTCATACACCACTGAGAAGTATCTGGCATAGTCTGCTCTATACCGTCCCATTAGACTCCTGGAGATGGGAAAAGGTGTCTCCTCCACCTTGTCTTCGTCATGCTGGATGAATCCAGGTCTCTCRGACTCTCCTTGCACACCCTGTGGTCCAACACCTTGGCCTTGGAGCTCTTTACTGGATTTGCTCTCACAAACTAATTATTAAACTAGTAGTTTGTTAGTAGTATTAAAACAAACAAACAAACAAAGTAAATTCTACATTTTGGATACTACTCTATTACTAAGAATAGTAACAATCTGGTGGCATGAACCAAAAATGACCAGAAGTATTTTTTCACTGTAAAATACAACTTCATTTGGAATAAATTAAGGCTTGAAAAAATCTCCTCTCTCTGGAAAAGTCAAATAAATATGAATAAATATTAGAGTTTTAAAAAGAAGAAAGCAAGGAACAAACAGAGTAAATTTCTTGCATAAGAAAGTTTAGAAAAAAGTTTAGCATATTCTTAATAATGAAGAGATCAAGTGAAATTTAATTATAGAGAAAAAAGACTTTTTACTGTACAACGTAAAATACACTGGAAAGGGAACTGTCACAAAAAAAATGTGTAATTTTACATSACTATCTAACTAAGCACTTTTATTTAAAAGTATATAAGCACCYCTGTATTTAAAGCTACACTTTTACAAGCAGCTATCTGGAATTTAGAAGCAAGAAAGACCTGTAACAGAAATTTTGTGAGGCAAAACACATACAGTTGTGGAAGAATTGTTTGAAAACGGGAACTGAGAGGAAAACTAAGRCCTAACAGAAGTTTTGGCTTTGCAGAAGCTGAGTGAGACACAGTTGCCACTTCCAGGATGACTGGTAGGCATGGACTCGGCTCCTCCATGGTTGCCCAGGCAACACAATCTGCCCTCCTCACAGCTGCAAAGGGGAGTAAGGGAGGGTGGAGCAGAGTGAAGACCCCACGGCCAGACTCTGTTGCACTCCCTGTGCTGGGCCGCTGATAAGCCGCACAGTAGCTGTCCAATGGGAGATATACGATAAAAAGTCYGGTGCTGAGCCAGAAAAGTGGTAAATCACTCCTTTTGGATGAACTTTGCTTGAACTTTGCTCATTATACGCTCATTATAATGCCAAAACACACCTCTATCCCAAAAGTTACCYGCCTCCGAGGTACAACCACCCCTCACTGAGCATGCGCTCTAGATTTTTGATTGACTGTACATTTAAATGAAAGCAAGAAACTTTTTCACCAATCAATAACAATATTAAGTATGACTCTAGTCACTCAAGCTCCACCWGAACATAAAGAAAAGTATGAAAGGTGAACTAAGGATGAAGAACTTGGGGGAAGAATCCATCGTAACTTTCCTCCCCTCAGACTGGAACATCGCCTGAGAAGACTAACAACTGAGAGGGAAGAATCCATCGTAACTCTTGGGTCAGTCGATGGGCTGATCCCCCTTCCCTCCTCTTGGGTTGAGAYGCCATCTGAGGTGACTTGAGACTGAGAGCCCTCTCCCATCTTCTGGGGTGAGTGATGGTTGCACATTTGTACATCAGATCTAGCTAAAAAACCCCACACTGTAGTAGAGAATTTCCTGTACTGACATCCGAATCCTGCTTTGTAAATGTTGCATTTGAATAAATCACACTGTTTGTGAATTCGACTACTTGTTTGAGGGGAGGCGATCGGACCTACAGTTGACAGACTGTTCGTGAATCCAATACTACCAGAATTGAGCTTATAGCTGATCACGCTATTTGGGAACTCAGTTTGCTCCTAGGAAGGCGATTGGACCTACGGTCCATGGACTATTTGTGAATCCAGTACTGCCAGAATTGAGCTTATAGTTGATCGCACTATTGGGGAACTCAATTCGCTCCTAGGAAGGCCATCGRACCTATGATTCATAGACTGTTTGTGAAACCGATACTGATTTGATATCTCCTTCCCCGCCCCCACCACCACTAAGGTTTTCAAACTGCAAAATTTTCACAACAGTCCTGATTGGAAAAGTCATCTTCAAACATTAGAATGCAAAAAAAATCAATTTTTCTTACAAAGAGATAAGTAAGAACTACCATTGTTCAGAAAGCAACAATAAAAAGCCGCTCTGTCAATATTTTATGGTAGACAATAAAAATTATGGATTTTTTTTTCAAAATATGCATATGTAGAACTAACAAAATTAGTCAAAATGCTTCTTTTGCAGCTATCGGATATTCTATATCAATCCAATTGCAAGTTAACTACCAATTCAGAAATCATGTAAGAACAGAAACATTAGCACAACCTCAGTAGGATTATGAAAATTTTAATGTGTTTTCCTTGATCATAAAAATGATGACTAAAAAGTCAATAGTTTTTTTTTTGTTTGTTTGTTTTGTTTTGAAGATGGGATCTGAAGTTCAACAAATCTGTGTGTTTAAAGATCAGAGGAAATAAAAGCTTCCCAATTGTACACATTGACAAATTTCCCAGTTAAAATAAGCGGTGATGATAACACATCAGTTAATGGATCCCCAGTAATTTAACTTACAGCTACAAGCACATTATTTAAAAACAAACAAACAAATAAACAAAAAACCTACATGGTTCAGGTTATCTCCAAACTCTCAAAGATCCAGGTCAAATTCATAGGAAAATATTCACAACTAGAAAAATGAATCACGAAGACTTAATTCAGGTGGCTAATCTAACCACTAGAAGACAAGCAATCCGTGTCTTTTCTCTTCTCCTTTATAACACAAATCTCCTTTGTACCCAACAAGCATTTAAAACATTTCTCCTAAATTGCATTTCTGTCTTTCAGAGTTTCTGTAGCTATTTTATTTTCACAAATATTTCATTATTTTTGTCAATATTATATTATTAATAATTATTTTGGGGCATTAAGTGGATTAATGTCTCAGCACACCCCAAATGCAACAGTTGAGATACTCTTGTTTAAAATGGGAATTCACATTCCTTTTGGGGAAAAAAAAAATATATAGCTATAGCCTAATCCTGAGAAAGTGCTGAAATAACGAGAACTGATCCTCTTTCCAGGCACATCTCACACTTTTATGTATATGATTTCAGAGAACGTTTGTTTGTCTTGAATTATTTTTTATTATTTTGTATTTCTGGAAGCTTCAGATTTAAAAAAAAAAAAAAAAAAAAAAAAAAAAAAGCAATAATAGTAATTCATACAGTCCTATTTATGGTATTTCCTCTGTGAGTATATATGCACACATATAAAAGGATATAAACAAACACAACCACTTTTACAAATACCAGCAACTCTAAGATATTTGATATGTAAGTCATTCAATTATTAGATTGGAAGTAGCTACAATTTTTCAACCAGCCAGTTAGACTATCAAACAACAGTGCAGAAAAGTAGAAAAAAAAAAATTGAAATATGTATGAAAGAACGGCAGATTGGTTTTGAAATTCTTTGTGTCTTGCAGAGATGCAAATGTGTGTGTTCTCTTGTATCTCTTGTATCCAAGCACATCATTAACAGGAAATACACCTAATGAGAAAAGACTGTAAGTAGCTAAAGAAGAGAAGCTTTTTTCTAAGATATAGAAATAGAAAAGGAATAGAATAGAATAGAATGGAATGGAATGGAATGGAATGGAATGGAATGGAATAGAATAGAATAGAATGGAATTGAAAAAGAAATGAGTAGAAACACTAATTTATTGGGCTTAAAAGTATTTTAACTAATAGAGATGTATTTTAAAAATAACTTTTTTCACAAAATTTCTTTGATAGCTTATATGCATTCTGTTTCTCAACTTTTATTGAAAACTTCATGTTCTCCTTCATGATAATATGTCCTGATCCAACTAATGTGAAGATATCCACTATTTATAATATCTTCCTGAAGTACTGAAGTAGGAGGGGGAAAAAGACCTCCCTTTCTTAATCTATCTCCATGACAATAAACACTGGCAGTAATCCATAACCTTTCTTAAGACTCAAAAAAAAAAAAAAAAGGAAGATTTTAAACATCTGTTTAATGCATCAGAGGGTTTTTGATACATCCTAAGCATCCTACATTCTAAGAAATAGTTTGAGCTGAACTCTCCTCCTTGCTTGCAGTGTCAGTGAAGTCAGCTGCTCCTCAGCTATAGGAAAAATTACATGAAATCGTGTTCATTGATAAGATTCATTTAACCCTATCYGTACCTTTACAATTTAGTTATCAGTAAGAAATAAGCATATTTATATTATGATTCAGCTCACYGTAAAGCAGACAGCCAACCTAAGTCAGATGAATCACACAGTGGAAATGCCACTATTTCCGCATTGATTGTAAAGGGAGTTTAGACAGAAGAACAGAGATAAGCTCAAGCAAATATATTTGATTTGATTTGCGGTCCTTCTCCAGCATCATAATCTTTCTCATGAGTTCCAGTATGGGTCCATTTGGCAAAAGCTGAATCTGTGTGATTATACACAAGTATTGCTGCTCTCAACTGTGGCATTTTGATTTTTCATAGTTAAAAAAAGAGAAGAAAATTAATGTCACTTCAGTAGATTTTATATAGGGCATTATGGAACTTCAGTAAATCACGTCTATTGAAATTACACAGAGAACAGTATAGCAGATGCAAAGTGATTGATACTTGCATAAGTAAAGCTATTGCTAAACATTATCTGAAATAGTTCCACTAAGCCACTCTAAAGGAACTAGTACATTAAACTTCAATAAACTACTGTAGTGGAGCATTACTAATTTGCTACTTCTGTGCAAATGAGTTGAACAAGTAGCTATACTTGAAAGATGAATAAGAAT